TGGTCATTCAAACACCCCAATGTCAAATAAGAAGTGGCCAAACTAGTCATTGCAGGTCGAATTAAATCAACATTTTAGTAAACTTATGCAACAAAGAAGTAAGACTTGTTCTTGCATAAATATAGGTTATGGTATTTTTACCCATAACAATCGTATCTTTATGAAGAGGGATTTTCTTCTCAAAATCTTCAAACATCAAGTCAATGCAGTGAGCATCACACAATGTTCAATACAACTTTGTTCTTTTTTGCATCGATAATTCCCTGGCTGCTTTGTAATTTGCAACATTATATGTAATAACCTGGACAAAATTTTCTTCCCCAACATCTTCAACAATATCATCTATCATCTTGAAAACTTTATCAACTATCTCAGTTATATCATATGCATTATAGTCCTTCTCTTCCTATCGATCTAACCATTCATCATTATGGTGCATCCTAACTTCCTCTAAACAACCATATGTCCCTCTAAATATTTTTCTAATCTCACCATAAAAATATTTTAATTACTTCCCTCTAATCTCATGATAGGTTGGTGGCTTAAATCCTATACCATGTTTTATAGAAGATTCAAACATTTTTTTATATTCTTCAGACCTTGCAACATTAAATGGAATAGAACTATTGTAAATAAAAAGAGCAATATCCTTACATGCATCGTCCCTCAAATTCTGCTTATAGTTATCATTGGTTGTGGTCTATTTTAGTACACTAGTGATTCCTCTTTTGAACATATCCTTAGGTGTTATCTCCCATTGTCTTTTCCTTTTTCCACTTGAACAATCAACAACTTCAAGATCATCATTGGCAACAACATTATCACCTTCAATGCTAATTTCTTGTGACTTTTGTAGCAATTTCTTTTGTAGTTTGTAAACCTTATCCAAAATTGTACTCTTGATGGCATCTAGAACAACTAAACATGACTTATCATTATTTCTAAATCCGGCCAAATGATGCTTCAAACGATAAATACATTTGGTAAATTCACCCTCACAGAATTAACATTTGACTCTTCTAGAAATTGGATCAAGTAAAACAATGTATTCCCATGCTAGATTAGTTTTCATTCCAAGAATTTTTTTTTGCAAGAGTACGAGCAGAAGCACCACTTTTAGCTGTTGGTAAAACATTTTATGATCCTTCATTTGAAGCCATTACAAAGGGCAGAAAAATCGAACAATGACAGTGTGAAGATAAGACAAAATGTGGATGACAAGAACAACGATGATAACAAAGGGAAAAGAACATAGATGATAACAAAGGGAAAATGATGGCGAAGATGATGATGGAAAGTTATAGAGATTTCAGTTAAATGATGAACGTATCGAATAAAAGTGTAATCGTTTTGTGTTTTAGGGTTAGGACTTAAGAGGGAAAACCTAATTAAAATAAAAAATCGAGTTCACTTTAAAAAAACTGACCCGGTTAGAAAGATTAAGAAATAGGCCCAACATTATTATTTTTTACAATCTTGTTATAGAAAACTCAATCTTGATTACTAAGTTCACGAAAAAGGTTTTTTCTCAGATCGTAGCACTAAAAGATTATTTGGTTATCCCTCTTATTTGGAGTGACCCAAATAAATGTGTGTTGGTAGACCATATGTGTGTAAGCCTTTGTTATTATCCAACAAATAGAATTCGGTCATTCAATTAAGTGTGTGAGAGAATAAGAAGAAAAATCTATAGAGAATACATTATTATCGCAGCTGCAATTCAACACAGACGAATTCCATAAGATCGAAGTTTTCTCACAATCCAACCGTCAAATCGTCCTGATTTTTGGTGACAATGTTCATCACTCATAGAGATATATTATGAATGGTGGAGTTCGGATTTTGAGTTTTCTATACCTGTCTTTCAAGTGGTTTTTTTAGGTTCACTTTTTGTGGTTGTTTTGGTTAATTGTATCTCTTTTTTCTTGTTGTATTTTGAGATTGATTGTAATTCTTTAGTATGTTGATGTATGCCTCTAACTAGTGTTAGAGAGAACCTTAATTGTATCTATTGTTGGATTATAGTGGTGATTTAAGTGGCCTACGGGTCCTGTGGTTTTTTACTCCTAGTTAACATAGGTTTTTCCACACTAAACTTGTGTTGTTTTGTTTTGTGTATTTTGTTGATTGTCTTTAAGTTGTATTTTATTTTTGGGAGAGATTATGTTATTGAGTTATTCAATTGCGTTGTGGATTTCCTTCCAACAAATGTGTATTTTATTTTTTGGGAGAGATTGTGTTATTGAGGTGACAATAAGGAAGATGTTTCTATTGTTGATGATTTCTTTGTTGTTTGTGATAGTTTTGTAGAGAATGTCAATTTATCATGTGATGAGATGGATTGGGTGGTTGATAGTGTTGCTTCTACTCGTGCAGCCTTGAGATGTGATCTTTTTTCAATTTATGAGACCAGTGACTTTGGGGTTGTTCATATGGGAATAGTAGACAAGCTAATGTCATTGGAATAAGAGATATTTGTGTCAAAACTAGCAATGAGACTACTCTAGTTCTCAAAGGCGTGAAACAAATTCCGGAACTTCAATTCAATATTTCATCTGTTGGAAAGTTAGATAATGAAGGATATGATAATTCTTTTTCGGCCAATGAATGGAAGTTAAAGAAAGGCTCAATGGTGGTCGCTAAAGCAAAAAGGAATTCAAACTTGTATTCGTCCAACTTGGGATTTCAAAGTGCTACATCAACATTTGTGATAATGATAGTTCATCTGAATTATGACACAAGCGTTTGGGTCATATGAATGAAAAATGTTTGAGCATTTTGACAAAGAAGAATGTGTTGCATGGTGTTTCCGATGCAAAGTTGAGAAAGTGTTTTCATTGATTAGCGAGTAAGCAAAAACGAGTTTTCTTTATGTCTTCAAACCAAAGAGGAAATCACAAGTCTTGGATTTAGTACATTCTAATGTGTGGATTTTGAGTTTTTTAGACCTATTTGCCGATCGGTTTTCCGAGGTCCAGTTTTTGTAGTTGTTTTGGTTTATTGTATCTCTTGTTTCTTGTTGTATTATGAGATTGATTCTAAATCTTGAGTATGTTGATGTATGTCTCTAACTAGTGTTAGGGAGAATTTTGATTGTACCCATTGTTTGGTCATAGTTAACAGAGATTTTTTTCACGCTAAAACTGTGTTGTTTTGTTTGATGTGTTTTGTTGATTGTCTTTAAATTGCATTTAATTTTTTTTGAAGAAACTGTGTTGTTGAATAATTCAATTACACTGTGGATTTTCTCCATAACAAAGACAACTTCAACTTATAATATCTTAAGACAAAACGATCGATCTTGACTACACTGTAATTAAATTATCAAAATAACAATTAACTTTTATTAAAAATATGTAAATTTTACCCACTCTAAATCTTGAACTCTACGCTAATTAATCATCAACTAACCTATAAGTTTATTATTAAAAAAAAAAATACAATTATAAGTCCTTAAGGAAAATGGTAGCCACTACTAATTCAGAATCTATTTAATTAACCCACTTAACATGTTGATTTTGAGCAGGGTTTAACTCTAAAAGTTAAGGCCAATTAACATTACAGATCCGAACATTATACTAGTGATAATGAAGTGTCTTGATGAAATTCCGTATTAGTCTCCCACATGATCCCTATTAGTTGGTATCCATCAACATTGACCTTATTTGAATTCTCTAATTGATACGTATTAATATCTATGTTTTATCATTCTTAATTACTCACTACATATATTCTGCAATTCGATTCCACAAAATATGAGCGCACGATCTCATGCAATCTCCAATAATCAATTCTTGATAGCAAATAGGAGTAGGACCCCTATTTTTGGCTTGGTCTATGAGACTCTACTATATGTTCAACCAAACACAGCTACAAAAACACATGTCCACTTCATTTCACATCACTTTTATTTCCCCCCTTTTTTCATGTTTTTAATCTAACATGTTAATTAATTCTCAGACCAAACAACACCATTAATATTATCTGTAGACACACCATATACTATATAGAAAAGAAAGAAAGAAAAGGGTGTTGCTGTTTTTATAGACTAATGAAAAAAGAGAAAAAGAAATTCACTATGACACAGCTGGCAAGAGTCAATGGATACTAATACGCGAGCTCAACTACACATCCATGGTTATTTAATTGCAACACGTGGCAGGCACTGTTAGAGGCTCTTTCTCTCTCTCAAATTATAGAGTTTTAGTAGCTGGATTTTGGAACGAACACTCCCCAGTCCATACCATGTGTGTTAGTGTCACAAATATAGTTATTTTCATGTAATTATCCAAATTTCACTTGCTAAATTCCCAAGAAGAAAATTTCAAACCATTTTTTCATCATTCTATTCACTGGTCATTGCAATGATTCCAATCAAAAGTATTGGATCCCACTTAACCCAAGAAAGTAAGTAGTTAGGAAATTAGTACTAGTACCTGCATGGTTTTGTTTAGTTTATTTTATTATATTACATATAAAAAATTAAAGCATGTAGTACTCATTTTGTTTGCTTGTTGGTTCACTTGTTGTTGACTGTTTGTTTAATAACAATAATAATAATGTTTCCGTTTTGTGCAGGTTTAACAATATAGAAAGAAAGAAATCATAGAGAAACGAAAAGAATGGTTATTTTTGGTGTTTGGTTACTGGGAGGAGGATTATTTCACGTGATAATTCTGCCATTGTGTCCGTGAGTTTTACCACTTTTCTGCACACTTTCATGCCAATGTTCTGTTCGATAAAATGTCTCAATGAAAACTTTTACTATGCATGAATGAAAAATGTGAAGGAAAGGAAAGCAACCACAAATTGTAGATCTAATGAGTTAAAAGCTTTTGAGGTATTTTTATTTTAGTAGGTGAATCAACTTCTACCCAACATCAACATGCATTAAAAGTTTCAATAACTTCCACCAAATTCAACAATGTCTATTCAATATCAATAGCTTCTACTACTACAATAGGTCTTGTTTAGGGTCCAGTTTTATTGTTGTTCTTAAAATGGAGAGATTCTCATTCTCCTTTCTATTTTTCATCATTCATCTACTTTTTCTCATAACTCCTCACTCAGCTAGATCACAAAACGACGATTCAAAACCACTTTTAGCTCTCAAATCCTCCATTGATATTCACAACAAACTTCCATGGCTACAACAAGTAAACGACGACGTTTGCACTTGGGTAGGTGTCAAAGACTGTTTCCAAGGAAGAGTTAGAAAGTTAGTACTTGAGTATTTCAACTTAACCGGGAAATTAGATTCAGAAATTTTAAACCGTTTGGATCAACTTCGAGTTCTTAGCTTCAAAGGAAACTCACTCTCTGGTCAAATCCCTAATCTCTCGAATCTCGTTAATCTTAAGTCTATTTATCTTAACGATAACGATTTCTCCGGCGAGTTTCCTGTTTCGGTTTCGCTTCTTCATAGAGTCAAAGTTATTGTTTTATCCGGTAATAAAATCTCCGGCAAGATTCCGGTGTCGTTGCTTAAGCTTTCTCGGCTCTATGTACTGTACCTGCAAGATAATTTGTTTACTGGTTCGATTCCGAGTTTTGATCAAACCGGACTTAAGTACTTGAATGTCTCGAATAATAGACTCTCCGGCGAGATTCCGGTGACAACCGCATTGATCCGATTTAATGCGTCGTCGTTTTCAGGAAACTTGGAGCTCTGCGGTGAGCAGATCCACCGGGAATGCAAAAATAGCACTCTGTTATCGCCACCGCCGTTGGGAGTGGGTCCCGTTGGAGGAAACACGAAAACGACGTCGTCGAAATCGAACCGTACGAAACTGGTCAAGATAATTGGAGGAAGTGTTGGTGGATTTGTTTTGTTGTTAATTTGTTTAATTTTACTGGTGTGGGTAATTTGCAAGAACCGTAGGAAGAGAGTGGGTGCTTCTGGAGCAAGAAGGAACAACAAGGGTAATGCTGACGTGGCAGCTACAGAAGGTGAAAATCCCGGAGAAGGAGAGGGTAGAGGAAGTAATTACGAGGCGAAACAAGGAAGTTTTGCTTGGGAGAATGAGGGTATAGGAAAACTGGTGTTCTGCGGAGCAGGGGATCGTGAAATGGGTTATAGTTTAGAGGATTTGCTTAAGGCTTCAGCAGAGACATTAGGGAGGGGTATTATGGGAAGTACGTATAAAGCAGTGATGGAATCAGGTTTTATTGTTACTGTTAAGAGGTTGAAAGATGCTAGGTACCCTGGGTTAGAGGAGTTTAGGGCACATATAGATTTACTTGGAAAGCTTAGACACCCTAATTTGGTCCCACTTAGGGCTTATTTTCAAGCTAAAGAAGAGCGTCTTCTTGTCTATGATTATTTCCCCAATGGAAGCCTCTTCTCTCTTATTCATGGTACGCATCTCTTTAACTTTACAAGCTTATGTCTATGTATTTGTTATATTCTTTTATTTGTTGAAATCATATAACTATCATTATATTATGTGTATAGTTTAGATCCTGAAAAGTTGGGAGGAGTGTGACCTAAAAGTTGATTATCTTTTGATAATGGGGTCCTCATCCAATAATATGTAAGCACTGAATGTTTCACTCTCACACAGGTTGATGTTGATTAGTAGAATAGAGAGGGATTAGGGATTAGGGATAGAGACAAAAGTGTTGCTTTCCATGAAGAACAGTTTAATGAATTAATGTAATTAAAGACTTTTAAGAAGGTGTAGTATATACGTGTGATCTGAATCTGACAACTCATTTATGAATGTGACCCCATGTTAGTGTTGTCCCTCTCACTCAACCATTGAAAAATTAAAGAGTGTTGAACGGTTTTGTGCTTAGTGTATAGCCACATACTTCTACAGTGATATATTTAATTTAACATGAGATTTGGAATGTTTAAATTATGACTATTAGTCTTTAGCGTGATTTGTTGAGGGAAAATGGATCCTTCTGTCAATGTTTTGATGCATTCACTTATTCAATATATTAAAAATAAGTTTAATTTTCATTTTATTTTATAATTTAAAAAACACGTTTTAAATCAGAACTATACGGTCAAAAAACACTTGACTGCTTGATAGCAGCAAATCGTGGCCCATCGTTGGGTCCTATATATGTCCAACAAAAACTCTTGATTCATTCAAAATTTTATTTTGAAAGACTGGTATGATACCCTTTGATTTTTAAATAATGAAAGTTGAAATGTTCACTCCAATAATAAAATTCTTAAGCATGATAAGTTAGACTTCTTAGTTATCTTATTATATATAGTTTTTTAGTTGTTTGTCCCTTCTAATATTTTTCTAATTATGCATGAATCCCTTATTAGAATCCCTATTGAGAGGATTTTTTTATAATTTACCAAAGTAAAGGTGGGGGAAAGACACATGTTGGATACAGAACAGTGTTTCCTTTCATAACTGTTTAAATTTTAAAAGCTGTTATATTACAGATATAAATATTTATATAAAGAAGTTATTCTTTTTGCTGGATAATGCAAAAAGTGAGCATAAAGCATAAGCAATATACCTAACCATGGAGCGACTCTCTTGTTCATTAATCATTAAAGTAAAGGGGGAGATAAAATACTTTGTGGCTGTGCATTTAACAAATCAACAAGTTTGCTTTCTTTTTCTCTTAGAAATAATGGTGGAATCATAATATCCAAGACTAGAAAGTAACCAATCATGCCAATTGCTAGGATCCTCACGTGTATTTTGTTTTGCTTTGTTTCTTTATTTAATTAATGCTACTGAGCTTCTTTAATCTATGCAGGTTGGCCATATTTTGTTCTTTGTAAAAGTGGTATACATTTTAATCATATGATTGAAATTGTCTGTATTTGTTGCATGACCATTTTGGAATAATCAATTTTGAATCAAAATATAGATGCAATTTTTGTGAAACAATTATAGATTCAACTATCAACAACATTCATGTTTTCTTTTGCTAGGGAAGTAAATTGAATAAAAACTTCTGTATTTTGACATTGCTGTAATAGTAATGTATGTGATATTTGAACCAGAGGATCCGTTGATAAATTAATGACTGTAAAATGCAGGATCGAAAACATCTAATGGGGGAAAACCTCTTCACTGGACATCATGTCTTAAAATTGCAGAAGATCTAGCAACAGGCATTCTCTATATCCACCAAAACCCTGGCATGACACACGGAAACCTGAAATCTTCTAATGTGTTACTTGGTTCTGACTTTGAGTCCTGTCTCACTGATTATGGTCTCAACGTGTTCCTCAATCCCGACACAATGGATGAACCAAGTGCCACTTCTTTTTTCTATAGAGCACCTGAGTGCCGCAGTTTTCAACGGCCACAAACCCAATCTGCTGATGTGTACAGCTTTGGTGTCCTTCTCCTTGAGCTTTTGACAGGAAAAACACCCTATCAAGACCTTGTTCAGGCACACGGTTCAGATATACCTAGATGGGTTCGGTCAGTACGTGAAGAAGAGACCGAGTCCGGAGATGATCCAGCCTCATCAGGCAATGAATCTTCTGAAGAGAAACTTCAAGCTCTTTTGAACATTGCAATGGCATGTGTTTCAGTTAGTCCAGAGAATAGACCTACAATGAGAGAAGTTCTAAAGATGATAAGAGATGCAAGAGGGGAAACTCATGTCTCATCTAATAATAGTAGTGATCATTCACCTGGTAGATGGTCAGATACTGTTCAAAGCTTGCCAAGAGATGAACATCTTAGCATATAATTTGAAACTTTTATTTTTTATTTTTGATGTATTCTTATTTTTCCTGAATGGGTTATTAAATATTGATTTCGAACATGACTAGGTGATAATGCTGTAAAGACATACATTCATTCTTAATCTCTTGCTTTGTGAGTAGTTGTTGGTTAGAGGTAAAATTAATGGATATGGATTCATATCAAAGATTCAGCTTGCAAAGATGTGGAGAGCAATCCTTTCACCTTTTAGATTTTTTTTTTTGGTCTACGGCTAATACTAATCGATGTTTTTTTGAATTAAAGGAAGAATATATTAATTCGAAAGGAAGTACAAAAGTGGTGATCCCGTAGGATCCAACCCAACAAAAAAGACCAATTTACATCATATAGCTAACAAGATGCTTCTTAATTTTAAGGTTTTGCCATCTTATATAGGTTATGTTATCTATAATGTTAGTAGCTATGGTTGTAATATCTACAGGTTTATCAAAAGTAGCACTATTACGATACCCCCAGATGCAGTGGATGGATTGTGGATGAATTCAGCAACTAGCATTTTGAGAATATCCACTTTCCAGCCTTTACCTTTAGTCATGTTAGTTATCCAGATCAACTCGGCATCCCAAGGTTGAGGAGTATGAACTATGTTAAACCAATGGAGCACTTTATTCCAAATGTGTCTTGTTCCTTGACAGCAGAAAAATAGATGGTTCATCGACTCTTCCTCGGTATGACATAAATTGCACCGGCTATCTTGAATCATGCCAAAACGCTTTAATCTATCCTTGGTTGCAAGTTTTCCATGGCAAGCTTGCCATAGACAAAAAACTGCTCATTGTCGGCTCTTATTGGATCTAATTAAGTTTTTCAAAGGCACTCTTGTGTCGTCATCGATCAGAACCTTGTAGAAAACCGACGCCTTAAACCTGTGTGAAATCAGAAGTTGATCCCACTCGTTCCTAATTAGATCCATGGTATCCCTTTGTTTCAATATGCTGCGCATGATCCAGGAATTTTGAGTTTTGATTTCATAATTCATGATCTGCTTGTCTTTAAAGTAATGAATATGGATCCATTTCACCCACAAGGTATCAGATTTATTGCACAGATTCCATAAGCATTTTAAGAGCAGGACATTGTTCCAAATCTGCAAATTTATCAGGTTTAACCCACCTTGAGCAGTAGGACAGCTCATGCGTTTCCAAGCCACATGACACTTTCTGCTCACTGTATTTTTGCCGGTCCAGATGAAACTGCGACAAATGGAGTCAATCTTTTTTATCACTGTTTTGGGCATAGGAAGACAGTGCAGCCAGTACTGAACCATTGTCATTGTTATACTTTTCACCAATTGGATTCTGCCGGCATAACTTAGAAGCTTAGAAGACCAATGGTGAATTCTAGCCACAATTCTATCCACCAAGGGCATAAAGTGAGTGATGTTGAGCTTCCTGCCAACCAGCGGTATATCGAGATATCGGAAAGGAAATGTACCTTCTTGGAAACCAGACATCTCTTGCAGAACCTTTCTCTTTTCTTTGTCTAGACCTCCAAAAAAAATCCTACATTTGTTAAGATTCATAATTAAACCCGTGGACATGGAGAAAGCCCTAAAAGTATGAAGAATCATATGTAAAGAGATCTCATCACCCCTGCAGAATAATAGAACATCATCAGCAAAGGTAAGGTCGGTGATTTTCAACTTTTCGCATTTGGCATGGAAGTTAAAATTAGGATCTCTTTGCATTTTCATCAACAATCTGTTCATATACTCTATTATGAGAACAAACAGTATAGGTGATAGAGGATCACCCTGACAAATTCCTCTTTTGGCCTGCAGCATATCAGTGTACTCTCCCATGATGTTAAATCTATAAGATACAGTGGTGATGCCCAGCATGATCCAAAGAATGAATTTGTTAGAGAATCCCATCTCCTTCATGATCTGATCAATGTTACAATGCAATCTATGCCTTTTCTATGTAACCTTAAATTAATGTGCCATGAATGACTTGATGGTTATTAATAATTTTTTAAAAATATTTAGAAATATGTAGCACCTTTTTTAAAATTATATTCTTCTTTTTCAATATTATAATCTCCTTTAGTAAACAATTAATATATTTTTCCAGACCATGTTAACAATATGTCTATATTCTTAGTGACATGGGTTTACTTTCTTTGACGAACCCTCTAACCAAGGATGAAGTTGTTGTTGCTTTGAATTCCATGAAGCCTTAAAAGTTACATGGGTCTCTTACGGGTTTCACCGTATTTTTTCTAGCAATACTTGCGTTGATGTTGATTTGTAGCACACGGTAAAAGATGTTTTTAAGTAATTTTGGAGAATTTCTTAATGAATCATAGTTTTTAGTCACAACGCGAAATTATTTAAATATTTTTAGATTTCGGAGATACATCTTCGGATGTATTTATTTATGAATATATGTTAATATATTTCGGAGATATATCTTTAGAATTATTTTAAACATTCAATACGACTCATTCAGAAGCCATTCACATTTGAATTGAATTGAAGATAAATTTTTATGAATATTCCAAAAATGTATCTTCAGAATATAGCAGAACATATATTTAATGTTATAAGTTGTTTGTCAGTGTTCAGATGAAGTATAACTATAATCGCAAATAAAAAATAGTTGTACAAAGTAATAAGAGACTAATACTATGTGTGTCGAAAATAAAATAGTAATATATGTAAAAAAATATTGTACAATCGAGATCTAAAATGTAGTATGACCGTAAAAATAAAGTACAAAGTATAATATTACAACAAAATAAAAAGAGACTACTACTGTGTGTAGGGGTGGACATCCATAGAACACCCGACCTAACCCGACCGAACCGAAATTCATTTTAGTCTACGGGTCGGTTAACTTCAGGTTATGGGTATTCATGGGCCAGCTAATTGGATATTAATGGGTTTAATCGGTCGGATTCAGTGGTAAATATTGGACCCGTTGGAAACCGAATCCGATCGAATATATAACAATAATAATTATTATTATTAAGTAGTCTAAGTAATTCGCTGAGAGAGAGAGAGAGAGAGAGAGATTTGCTGGGTTAGATTAGGGTTACCACCATCATCCATCATCGTATCGCTGCTGCTCTCTAAGCTACCACCATCATCGTCATTGCTCTGCCTCCAAGCTACCACCATCATCATCTTCGTCATCTCTCTCTCTCTCTCTCTCTCTCTCTCTCTCTCTCTCTCTCACACAGTAAGTATCTTGCCCTCTCTCCCACTCACTTCTGTTGGTGCAAAGGTGAATAAATGATGAACAAAGGAAATATTCTATTAAGAATGACGGCTACAAAAACATGATAATAGTTACAATGATTGTCACCCTATTTATAAGCTAAAACTAGGGTTACTAGAATAAGATAAAATACTAAAATACCCTCTAACAAACTTAGGGGCTAAGAAAATAGTACAACTAAATAAATATGAATTACTATTAATATTCTAATACCATCCCTTAATTCATATTCCATCAAAACTTGTAACACCAATTCCATCCCTTAGTCTGAGAAATTGATCAGTCTTGATAGCTTTCGTCAGAACATCTGCCAACTGCTTCTGAGTGTTGCAGTGTACAACTTCTAACACTCCACTATGAACTTGATGTCTTAGAAAATGATACTTGGTCTCAATATGCTTGCTTCTCCCATGCAACACTGGGTTTCTGGCAAGATTGATTGCAGACTTGTTGTCAATCATCAACTTCAGAGGTTTGTCTACTTTAATCTTCAGATCCTGCAACAGATTCAGAATCCACACAGCCTGGCATGCAGTAACAGCACCTGCAATGTATTCAGCTTCACAGGTTGATAACGCCACAACAGGTTGCTTCTTGGAACACCAAGAAATGGGACCTCCCAGAAATTTGAACAAGTACCCAGATGTACTTCTTCTGTCAACTTTGTCTCCACACCAATCAGAATCTGAATAACTCAGAAGTTCTGACTCATTATTTCCTCCAGAGGGAAATAACACTCCATACTTCAGAGTTCCTTTGATATACCTCAGAATCCTGACAGCAGCTTGGTAATGGGACCACTTAGGTTTACTCATGAACCTACTAACCATCCCAACTAAGTAGCAAATATCAGGTATGGTATTGCACAGATACCTCAGAGAACCAACCAACTGTTTGAAGGTTGTAGCGCCCACATCCTTTCCTTCAGAGTCTGAATCTAGTTTCTGATTTGTATCAGAAGGTGTGACAGCCATCTTACAATTCTTCAGATCAAATCTCTTCAGAAGTTCTAATTCATACTTGAGCTGATGCAAAATGATACCTTTCTCAGAATATCTGAACTCCATCCCTAGAAAGTATGTCATTTTGCCTAGATCAGTCATTTCAAATTCATTCATCAGAACTTTCTTGAACTTGGCTATCTCCTGTTCAAAACTTCCAGTCAGCAGTATATCATCAACATATAAACATACCAGAGTCATATTGCCTTCAGAAGTATGTTGAGCATAGACACCGTACTCCATCTCACATTTCTGAAAGCCTTGCTTCTTAAAAAATGAATCAATCTTCTGATTCCAAGCTCTGGGCGCTTGTTTCAATCCATATAGAGCTTTGTATAATCTGTACACCATCCCTTCCTGATTCTTTTTCACAAATCCAGGAGGTTGTGACACGTAAACTTCTTCTTCTAATGGACCATTCAGAAATGCAGATTTTACATCTAAATGCATCAGAGGCCAATTCCTGTTAGCAGCTATTGCAATCACCATTCTGATTGTTTCATGTCTTGCTACAGGTGCAAACACTTCAGAGTAATCCATCCCAGGTTTTTGCAGAAATCCTCTGGCTACCAACCTTGCTTTATGTTTGCCAATTGAGCCATCTGGCTTTAACTTCTGCTTGAAAACCCATCTGACGCTGATGACTTTCTTGTCTTTTGGAAGTTCTGTCAGCTTCCAAGTCTTGTTTCTCTCTATAGCATCAAGTTCTTCTTTCATGGCCTTCAGCCAGAGCTTCTGCTTAAGAGCCTCCTCTATACTTATAGGTTCAGAGTCTACTAACATGGCACACTGAAAAACTTCTCCTTCAGAGTCTACTTCAGTGTCTTGCAGCATGTCAAATTCTGCAAATCTTCTGGGAACGCTTCTGATTCTTTGTGGTCTCTGAACTTGTTCAGAGTCTTGAGCTTCAGAGTTTCCAGTTTCAGATGGTTGACTTCCTCTAGAGCTTTGACCATTGTAACGCCCCAATTTCGATTTCCTTTATTCTGAGTCCTTTTAATTTAATTGATTGAATTATTATTTTAAATATAGGATTTATGTGTTTAATATGTTATGTGTGCATATTGTTTTGGGCAAAATAGGTTGGAGGGTATTTTGGGCATTAGTGATTATGCTAAGTGGATATTTTTATGAGAATTGATTAATTAGTGTGTGGAAAGAATTTGAGAGGAAAGAAATAAAATTATGAGATAAGAGAGGAAAAGAGAAAAGATAGTAACATAGAAAGAAAAACAAGAGAAAGAAAGAGGAGAAGAGAAAATGGAGAGAAAAGGAGAGGAAAACCTAGAACTTCAAGAAATCATCACCAAAGCTTTCGATTGATCGGGTAAGGGTGTGAAACTTTATTATTCTATCAATGTGTATAATCATGTATGATTTTGTTGGATTGTTTTGGATTGTTGGTAGTTTTTCTACACTTTCCATTTTAGGTTGAATTTGGTTTAATCGGGAAGAATCGTTGTTTAACGGTTAGAATCGTGATTATATGATGTAGGTTAGATGATATATGTTAGACTAAGGCTACTGGAACAAACTTTGGATTTAATCGGGTGATTTTGGTGAGTTTGGAGGTGCTGGAGCAGAACTGAATGTTGATGTTCGCAGGCGACTCGCTAGCAGCTCGCTAGGCGAGCACGCAGCGAACTCTCGCTAGCAGCTCGCTAGGCGAGCATGCAGCGAACGGTCCCAGACTTGGGACAGTGATATCCTGATGTCCCTTGCTGGCAGCGAAGGGAGTAGCGAGGAGCTCGTTGGAGGTTCGCTGTGGCGAACGGGGTAGCGAACGAGGTCTGTAGCCTCTGTTCTTGCTCGCTAGCAGTTCGCTAGGCGAGGAGGTAGCGAACGCTCGCTAGCAGCCCTCTAGGCGAGCGTGTAGCGAACATAGCAGCATGAATTTTCCCTGTTGCGTGGTGCTGTCGTGGCTTGGGGTTTCGGTTGTGATCGACCCTTCTTTGATTTAATAGCTTATATGTTGGTTGGTGATGTACTGTGGGTAGCCGTATGGCGTGAATCCTAGATTATGATTTGTGGCCGTTTGGGCACTTATGTGCATTGTTTAGCTTGATTAAAAATCTATGATGCTTGTATGAATATATGCGATGAATGTGTAGAATGCATGAGTATGTTTGCAAACATGTGTGCATTTCAAGAGTGTCATGAGTCATGTTGCATGTGAAGCATCATGGTATGCATTTCTTGTGTCGATTGATTCCTCGGTGAATCTGCAGAACCTCGTGTGCCCTTGTGGGGTGTGAGCGATGGTTAATTATTGATCCCTCGGTGGATTTGCAGAACCTCGTATGTTGCGATGGTTATTTTGATTCCGCGTAGAATCTGCAGAACCTCGTGTGCCCATGTGGGGTGTGAGCGATGGTTATTTGGTTCTTCAATTGAACCTGCTGAAATGAGTCGGTACCGCATTTGCATCTGCATAGAGTCGTGTGTCGGTCTCTATGAGTTGCATGTTGACATCTTGCATGGTGTATGGTGAATAAACATAATTGTAAATGTTTATATGAATTATTGATGATTGGCATGATTGGTATGCTTGAAGACACATGTATGTGTGAATATATGTATATGTATGTTTTGTGTGTTTATGAACTGATATAAACATT